ATTAAAACGATGAGATAACACTACATTTCTACCACAATGGTGAAAATCCAGAGCACTGCATTAAAAAATGTTCAATATAATACATCATTTGGGAATTTGGGAATTGCCAATTAAAACGATAAGATAACACTACATTTCTACCACAATGGTGAAAATCCAGAGCACTGACATCAAATACTGATGAGGGTGTGGAGCAATTAGAACTCTGATTCATTGCTGGTGAGAATACAAAACAGTCTAGCCACTTTGGAAGACAACTCGGCTGTCTTTAGTTTCTTACGAAACTAAACATAATTTTACCACATGATCCAGCAGTTGCACTCCTTAATATATACTGCAATGAGTTGAAAACCATGTCCACATAACAACCTGCACACTTGCTTATAGCAGCTTTACGAGTATTCACAATTGCCAGACTTGGAAGCAACCAAGATATCCTCCAAGTACGTGAGTGGATAACTGCAGTGCATCCTGGTAGTGGGATGATACTCAGCACTAAAAGAAATGAGCTATCAAGCCATAAAAAGACATGGAAGAAACTAAAATGCATATTAGTGGGTGGAAAGATGCAGTTGATATGTGCAGTTGATGTTCTCAGCAGACCAAAGTCCCTTCAACTGTCATGAAACCACAGGCGTTGATTAACATGATCGGAGACGCGAAGGATGACACAGCAGACGAGATGCAGGTGAAGAGCGGGGGGCCACTGCGCTCTCAGGCGAGTAGCGCCGACCCAGCCACTGTTACGGCTTTTATTACATTTAGCAAGCTTGTGCATGCAAGATAAGCATTAATGCATAAATTCTGTTATACTTTTCTCAAGAGCAGAAGGCCATTACCTCCCTTCTCAAGCACTTGGTTATCTATAATCCGCCTCCTGGGAACATCCCAAGAAAGTATTCTCACAACTTCAAGCATTCTCAAGGATTGTTTGCAATCCTTGACATTTCTTGGTTAACTCGTTTGCGAGTTCACCAAGTGAACACGTCCTTGGGTGCTGACCACAGATGTCCATTAACCATTTCCTTCACACAGGGGAGGAGACGGACATGAATTCAGTCACTGTGAAGGTGCATGACCTGAAGAGACACAAAGAAGGCAGAGAAAAGATTCTGTGGGAACCCACATGGGAGCCCTGAGCTCACATTCCTGGGCATGCTGACTGTGCAGTTCCTTGCTAGGCAGTCAGTTTTCTGAGGACAGGACCTGTACTTTGCTTACTTTTTTGTCGTTAGTGCCTAGCCCGGGGCTCCATGCAGAGCTGGGGCTCAAAGCTGCTGACTGATTGAATTAAGGACAGTGAGAAGCCTAACAAAATAATCAGTGACACAGCTGGAATGTATGGGAAGTCCCCCAAACACAAATGGGCTATATCCCCAAAGGTTATGATGTATCAGGGTTTTGGCCTCGGAATTCATTTCTTACCAAAAATCCTATAAGCAGGTGGTCAGCTTCCTGCAGTAGCCAACCCATAGAATTTATTTAACCTTATCATGTAAATGGACTATGTCTTTGTCATCACTAAGGCAGCAGTAGAAACAGTGTCATTATGATTAAAACACATTTAACGATGTCATGATCCTCAGAAACTTTTTGTGGTCTTTCTGAGGTTCTCTGAGGCTGCAGGTGTGAGGAAGACTTGCTCTGAGGAGAGAATGAAGGTGAAAACTGATCAAACTGAGGAGAGCTTGGGGAAGTCCCAGGCAATGAAAGGGATATCCAGCTTGTCTCATGGCATGGCACGTCAGAGTGCCACTGGTTTCTTTCTCGGCCACCCCTAGCACTTTGAATTGGAAGGATCAAAATCCAATTCAAATCGACTTAAGCAAAACAAGGGAATGAGGCTCCTATCACACAAAGTCCACTAGATCTTACTTTCAGGCATGGCTGGACTGAGGAACTCAAACACAGCAGCAGAACGCAACTTCTATTTCCTTCTTGGTTCTGCTTTCATCTCTGTGGCTTCGTTCTCAGTGTGAGCTCTCCGTGTTGCTGCAAAAATGTCCCTGACAATTCTGCCAGCCTCAGCTGACTGGTGACAGTGCAGAGTCGTATTTGACCCTCTAGGGACAAGAAAAGTCGAATATACTGATCCTGTCATTATTTTCAAATGGTGATATTTTGTTCATCGTTGTTTTCTTTCTAGCATTAATTTTTATTTTAAAATACATATTACATTAAAATGTTATTTACCTTGAAAAAATAAAATAAAATGCATATTAGTAAGTGCAGGAAGGCAATCTGGAAAGGCTGTATACTGTACGGTTCCAACTATGTACTTGACATTCCAGAAAAGGCAAAACTATGGAGATGGTGAAAACATCGGTGATTGCTGGAGGTTAGGGGAGGGGGAGGGATGAGCAAGTGGAGCACAAGGGATTTTCAGGACAGTGAAACAATTTTCTATGATACTATAATGGTGGATACATGTACATTCTACATTTTTCCAAACAATTATACATTTGTACAACACCAACAGAGAACCCTAATCTAAACTATGGACTTGGTGATAATGGTGTGTCAATGTAGGTTCATCAACTGTAGCAAATGTACCACTCTGGTGGTGGATATTGATAGTGGATAAGGCTACGCATGTGTGGGGAAAAGGGCCGTGTGGAAACTCTATTTTCCACCCAGTTTTGCTGTGAACCTAAAACTGCTCTAAAAAGTAAAGTCTATAAAAAAGTCGTTCAAAATCATTAGGCATTAGGGAAAGGCAAAATAAAACCATGGGGAGATCCATTACACACACACTAGAATGGCTAAAATTAAAATGTTGACCATAGCAAATGTTGACAATGATATGAAGCACATGGAAATCTTATACACTGGGTATAGGAATGCAAAATGATATAACCATTTTTGAAAACTGTCATTTTCTTTAAAAAAAAAAAATACATAACCCTACCACATGATCCATCTATTTCATCTTGGGTATTTACCCAAGAGAACAGGAAAGATACATCCATATGAACATCTGTATATACATGTTTATAGCAGCTTTATTTGTAATAGTCAAAAAATGGAAACAATCCAAATGTCCATCAACAGATGAATGGTTAAACAAATTTCAATATATCCATAAAAGGGAATACTACTTACCAATAAAAATGAACTATTGATACAATGACACAGATGAATCTCAAAATAATTATCCTGAGTGAAAGAAGCCAGACAATAAATGAGTATATACTGTATGATTCTATTTATATAATGCTCTAGAAAATGCAAACCAATCTGTAGTGACAGAAGGTAGGAAATGGTAGCAGGGAGGGTGAGGAAGGAAGGGTGGAGGAAGGTATTAAAAAGGTGCCTGAGGAAATCTTTGGGGATGCTGGGTATGATTACTATCTTGACTTTGATGATGGTTTCATGGATGTATATGTACATAAAAGTTTATCAGATTGTACACTTTAAATATATGCAATTTATTGTATATCAAGTATACCTCAATAAAACTGTTGAAAAGAAAGGGCTATCATCCAGCATAGAACCGTGTTTGGGGACACTATTAATGCTATCTCAATTTGAAAAGACCAAAGCTTTATAAGAATTCTGAGCACCAAATTAGCAAGTATGTTGTTACATTTGAGAAGAAAATATCTATCTTTACCATAGAAACTTGTCTGAAAATGTTTCAATTACTTTTCCTCATGTACTCTGTGGTAATTTCAACTTCAGTAATCTGTTTATTTCTAATTGCTGTAATAATTCTCTTACCTTTATATGCCACTGCTTACTTTGCCCTAAACACCCACCTAGTCTGGACAGGTTCCCTATCCCCACCTCACTGTATATACCACAGGGATTAACGCTGAGCTCAGTGCAGGTGAAGGACGGGAAGGGGAGTGGGAGAATGGGTTAGAAGACAAGTGTAATCAACCTAAAAAAAATCATTTTAAGCTGGGCTAAACCCATTGCCAAGATTCTGAACAAAAAACCTGTTCCAGAGAGCCAGTAACACTTACTGGATGCTAATGTTGTCCTCCCCTCTGTGTTTACAATCAGGTTTTCTCAATAACAAAGTTCTCAACCAGAAAATTGAGTTATTATAGGGGGAAACAGAGAGCATTCAAGAAAGCAACGAGATGTAACTTGTACCTGCTAGCTCCTAATTTGCTAGGGCTGGGGCTGCGTCTCTGCCCCACTGGTGAGCACCTTGCTATATGCACACACTAGTAATATCGGTAAATAGTACATTAGTAAATAGCGGCTGAATAACCTAAACAAAAAAGAAATTATTTACTTATTTAGGTCCTTACCTAGCTTATGCCTTCTCTTTGCTTTAGTATAAAAACCAAAACTCTGGTATTTGGAGCAAAACCTTACCTCCTTTCTTTTTGCTATGTCTGCTGAATAAGACAAATACTAGAAAGAAAAGCACTTAGGCCAGTAAGTATAGTGGGCTTCTCAGAGTTGTTTTTGTTCTGGGACCTTTGACTGTCAGGCCAAGACTAGCAAATTAACATTTTTTTTCTAAACTAAATATTATTGCTTCACAATTCCTCCCTCCTCCCGCTATTGAGTTAAGGTGGTTGGAGACCTAGGACTGCTGGATCCTTTCAGGTGACAAGGGAGACCAAGGTTGGGGAATATGTGCTAGTGTTAGGTACTGTGAGCTTGACCTTAGACTCAATTTTGCAGGTGACAGAACAGACGCCGAAGGACGACCCTGGACTCCAGCTAACCAGAGTCCCCAGCATACTGTGATTTGACTGAGTGTCCTAAACATAGGGGCAGGGGCGTGTTTGGGGAAGGGGTTGAGAACTTGGTGGCTGTGGGACCTGCCACACTGGTCCTTCTGGGACCCTCCGTTTCTTCATCTGTCCACAAGCCTCGGTGCGAGGCGCCCACGCGTTAGCCACGAGGCCTGGAGGGGCCGCCCGGCTCCCCGCGCTCTCCGGCCCGCGCCCAACGCTCCGCTCGCGGGAGGGGCCGCCCGGGTCCCCGCGCTCTCCGGCCCGCGCCCAACGCTCCGCTCGCGGGACGCCCGCGGCCGGATGTCCTGCGTCCGCAGCCTCCTCTGCCTCCTGGCGGCCCTGGCGGCCCGTGGCACCGTCGCCTTCTTCGGCTACTGTGTTTACTTCGACCGGAAGCGGCGCTGCGACCCCGCGCACAAGCGCCGCCTGCGGGACAGTGAGTGCGCCGGGGGCGGAGGCGAGGCCCGGCGGGGAGGAGCGGGAGGAGCGGGAGGAGCGGGCGGCCGGGCCATTGGGGCGACGCCGGCCCGGGACGCGCCTCCCCACCGGCACGTGCCGTGTCGTGTTTGCAGAAAGAAGAGCCCAACAGCCAGAGGCCGAGGAGCCGGGCGCGCAGGTGCAGTGCCTCGGACAGGCCCAGGTAGCTTCACAGGGGCGGTCCCGGAGGTGGCTCAGCAACACGTGCTTCCGAGCGTCGCAGGCCACCGGCCGGCCCAGAAGAGACCCGCCCTCGCCCCGCGGATCATCTGCCTTACGTTTAGTTTTTTACCCTCTTCAAAGGAAGAACAAGTTGGGGTTATAAAAAGGCAGCTATAAAAGAAACATTATAGGAGCAGACACTTTTTAATGGGACGAAGGAAGAGGCATCTTTGCTCTTCTAGAACGCCTCAGAAACCCAGGCTGGCAGGGTCACATGGCAGTGACTTATACACCGCCGGATTCTGCCTCGCAGGGCCTTTCTTGTAGCTCAGAAGCAGAAGGCATTTTTGTTTTCTTTAAAACAGAATCTGATTAGTCGTTTTTAAAGATAACAATTGCAATCATCTGGGTGATCGGCCCAGATTGACTGACTCACATCAGCTCTAAAAGTGCTACCGAGAGTTCTTAGGTTCTTTGAAATTTCAGAAGTGATTGTCTTAACCTTCATTCTTTCAGGCGGTCGGCGCCTATTTGAGAGCCTTCATGTGTGAGGTGTGGCCCGAGGTGTGGCAGAGGTCAGCAATAGAGGAGTGAGAATAATCAGCACCACAAGGCTGTGGATGAGACCAGCAAATGTACCAAGAACTCAGAGTAGGCCAGGTCACTTTCAGGGTAGGATTATGGAGGGTGTTCTCATTACCTATTGAAGCTTAATGGCTTAAAAGAATATCTGTTTCTCTCCAGAATCTGCAATTTGAGCTGGGGTTGGTGGGGATAGCACCTTTCTGCTCCACTCAGCTGTAGCTGGGATGGCTCTAAGGCAGGGTCTTGGGTCATTTGAAGGCTCATACTCACATCTGGCAGTTGATACTGGCTGTTCACTTGCCTGTGACTGTTGGCCATAGCACCTACACACGTGCTCTGCATGTGGTCTGAGCTTCCTCATTCTAGAGTGGGCTGGGTCCCAAGGGGCAAGCGAGCACATACAGAGCCAGCACGCTAGAGCACATGTGGGAAAGCATGCTAGGTGGTTCTTCTTGCAGCATTGAGGTCCATTCACTTTCAAGGGAAAATAGACTCCCCTCTTGATAGAGGAGGCAAGATCCTGAAAGCACATATGGGACCAGGAATGTTACTGTGGCTGGTTTTGGAAAATGCAGTTTTTCCACAGAAGACTTTGGAGGGGGAGTGGCATTGAACTGAGCCTAGAAGGATGTTGAATTTGACGCCTGTTTTCAGGGGAGACAACATTCAGGATGAACTGTATGTGATAAAGATGCAAAGTGGGGGATCTGCTACGCCTATTCGGTAAATCAGTTTGGCAAAGGAATCACAGTGAGGAATAGTGAGAGGTAAGGTTGGAGAGCTAAGTAGGGGTCAAATTAGGGAAGCCTTGCTTTGAAAGCCAGATTAAGGAACTCAGATTCAGTGTGGAAATTACTGAAGACTTCTAAGCAGGAATTTTTTTAAGAGAAGGAAAGAAAAACAACTTTTTTAGTTAGATTGATCAGGCAGGAGTGTGCTGGACGGTTTGGAAGAGAAAACAAGCTATTGGAGCATTTTAGGTGAGCGTAACAAAAATTCCTGAACTAGAGTGGTGTCATTGGTAACTGGGAAAAATAGATGGGGGATAATTTGTCCAAGAGTAGATAGTTCTTGCTGACTGATTAAAGGGTCATGGAGAGGCAGGAGTCAGAGACTTCTGGGGTTTCAAAATGGGGTCACTCAGAGAATAAAGGCCCAATTGACACAGTTAAGGAAGCCATGCAGGGAGTGTCCGAGGAGCATCTCCATTCCATGTGGACCCGTTTGCCTGAGGCAAAGCCTGG